GCTACGTGGAGCTGGTGGAGGGGCTGCGGGACGGGCAGGTGCACGCGCTGAAGCGCATCGTGTGCCACGACGCGGAGGCGAGCGGGGCGGCGCTGCGCGAGGTGGAGATGCACCAGCTGCTCGCCCACCCCCACGTGCTGCGCCTCGAGGCCCACGGCGTGGTGGACAAGGGCGCCACGCGCGAGGCCTGGCTGCTGCTGCCCTTCTTCCAGGTGAGGCGGGCGCTGCGGGCAGGGGGGTGTGCCAGCCCGGGGCTGGCCCTGCTGCTGGGTAACGAGGCGCCCGTGTCTCTCCGGGCAGCGCGGGACCCTGTGGAGCGAGGTGGAGGCGCTGCGGGACAAAGGCGCCTTCATGGGCGAGGAGCGGATCGTGCTCATGCTGCGTGGGATCTGCCAGGGGCTGGGGGCCATCCACGCAAAGGGCTATGCCCACCGGTGAGCACCGTGCCGCGCGGGGCCTGCCCCCCCTGCCCGCAGAGCCGCCTGTGACTCACGCCCTCCTCTCCCGCCACAGAGACCTGAAACCCACCAACGTGCTGCTGGGGGACGATGACCAGCCCGTGCTGATGGACCTGGGCTCCGTGAACCAGGCCCGCATCGAGGTGTGCAGCTCCCGTGAGGCCATGGCCATGCAGGTGCGGAAGGGGAGATGCCCCTGGGGCTCAGATGGGGTCTCCTGGCAGCAGCGGTGCAGGGATCCAGGGCTGCAGCCTTGCCGGCCGATGCCACAGAGCCAGGTCTCCCCCTGGCTCAGCCTGTCCTCTGCCCCCAGGACTGGGCCGCGCAGCACTGCACCATCTCGTACCGGGCGCCCGAGCTCTTCACGGTGGAGAGTCACTGCATCATCGACGAGCGGACGGATGTCTGGGTAAGGGGCCCCCCAGCTTGGGGGCCGGGTTGAGGGGGCAGGGGCAGCGGCCAGGACTGACGCTGCCGCCCTGCAGTCCCTAGGCTGCGTGCTGTACTGCATGATGTTTGGGGAGGGCCCCTACGACATGGTCTTCCAGAAGGGAGACAGCGTGGCCCTGGCCGTCCAGAACCCGGTGGCGGTGCCGCCCCACACAAGGTAAGAAGCCGGCGCTGCCCCCAGGGGGAGCTGTAGAGGGCCTGGTTGCTGCCCTGCTGCTCATCCGTGCTCTGCCCGGCAGGTACTCGCCCGCCCTGGAGCAGCTGCTGCGCTCCATGATGACGGTGAACCCCCAGGAGCGGCCACATGTTTCCCACATCCTGGACCAGCTGGAGGGGCTGCAGTTGGCACCGCCTGGCCAGGACACCACCCGCATCTGAGCCCTGCAGCCCCCCCGGGGCAGGTTTCGAAACGCGGTTTCGGCACAGCTATGCTCCCTGCTCCAGTTGGGCAAGCCTGGCTGCTGGCAGTGGAGGCTGCAGGCTCACAGCCTCCCCTGGGAGGGCCTGGCTGTTTGGAGACTGCCTGTGTGGGGCTGGAGGGCAGTGCCCATGGTGCAGCCTCAAGGGGCCCTGGCCCAGCTGCAGTGGTCTCATGGTGCACGGAGGGGTGTGGGAGCGAGGCAGCTCTGGGCTCGGTGCCATCAGTGTTGGCTGGGCAGAGCCCAACCTCACCAGGCACAGAACAGTCACATTCCTGCTGGAGCAGGCGCGTGGCCCAGCCTGCCGGATGCTGCCTGGAGCTTGTGTCTATTCACGTGTCCATCCAGTAAAGCTTCTTTACAGAAAAAAAGCGTTCCTGGCCTGCGGGGCCAGTGGGGGGGGGGGGGGGGGGG